TCTCTGAACATTATTAGATTTAATATTAATTATGTGTTATATATCTATACATATCTGTGACAATATATCTGTTTTTTTGACAATGTGTAAAAGATAATTATAAATTTATAGGAATACTTGTGATAGTAGATAAACGTATCGCAAATTTAAGATTAACACTTTGAAGATATACAGTATTATATATTTATAGTTTTATTATCCGCGCTTTAATAGATTAGAATCTGTACCTTATCATAAAATACACTTATGTGTAGAATAACTGATGTGATATAAGTAAAAAAGATGACATCGAAAAACACTGACGTTGTGTAGATTAGTGAAATAATATTCTATTTTAAACGCAGTTACTGTATAATAAAATAGATAGCCATGACCAATCCAAATTGTTGTGTTTATAGAATATACTCAAATACATTTTTTCTCGAGAATAGATACCTATACCGAATACTAAACACATCACTAGTAGACGATATAGAGCCTGTTTTAGTCGGTAGTCGTCATAGTGATCACTCTCTGAGTTTTCAATGCCAAATGACGTCATTTGTTTATTTTCGGCTTATTTTGTTTGGTGAACACACACATTAGTAATCAACCTGATAATCTGATAGATATAGATATGTAGATTTAATGCGTATATAAGAATAATGCAATTACATTATTGTACATCACTTTTTTGTATTATACTCAATGACACAGTCGATCGTTATCGCCGAACAGTAATAATAGCTGCTACCATCTTGATTCAAACTTTTTAGAATGAAGATAATTGCAAGATATTATATTATATATGTATATGTATATGTGTGTGTATTAGATACATATATATATGTATCTAATATATAATATAAAAGATTGTAGTGTTTGGGATACGTTACAGTGTAAAATAATGTTTTTTATTATGTTTTTAAAAAATGCACTTAAGTTTTTAAAACTTATCTTTTATTTAAAATATTTATAACTGTTTGCAAAATTAATTTCCATATACTATCTCGGCAAAACAATAACAATTATTTTAGGCAAATTATTTTAGCAGTATGTTTGCAAAATTAAATTTAAAAAGAAATTGTTCGATATTTGAGAGAAAAATTTCAGCTATGTGATGTTTAGAAATATAATTGCAAATAAAGAAATCAAATTAATTCATGTATATACTTATGGAAATGCATAACGACTGTTTTTTAATTTTTGACAAATATTATTTACAACATTTTATTGTGACAAAACTGTTGCGTTACGGCAAATCATCTTAGTGCAATCATTGCAAAATCGTTGTCATTCATGATATAATATTTTCACAATTTGCCTATTGGGATACTAGGTATTAATTTAACGCGACATCTGAAGGCTATGAAAAAAAAACTTTAGTGCCTTAAACAATGGTAGAAGTCCTTGACAGCGTCCTTCGTTTATCAGCTTTGCGAAGTTTGAATTTTGAAGTGCGAAAAGAATTTGAAAAACTCAAGTCTGGACAAGACGTTGGCATTTTGAAAAGTAAATTTTTTTTCAAGCACAAACATTGTAGTACAATGAAAATAAACGCAAGATATATACACTATCAAAGGTTGTAGTTTGATATATTACTGTGTCAAATATTATTTTTTATTATGTCATTATACTTAATAATTTCTTATAATATTAAATGCCACTATATTTTTTATTGCAAACATTATAAAAATACGAAGTTTTACACATTATTAGTTTTTTCTTTAGCCTTTATATTGATGTTTTATGTACATATATATTTTATACACATATATATAATAGAGTAAGAATACACTAGTATCAATTAGTTTTCTAACAAAAATAAAAAAAAATAATAACAATAAGAGTTTGTATTAAAAAATTTGATTTATGTCACACACACACAATAAATGCGTGTAATAACAGCTACATTAATTATAATTTTGCACTAATATCTATGTTGTTACTTACAGACATCATATAAGCTCCATAAAATGCTCCTTATCTCTGTACAACATCTAGAAAAGATCTATACTACATGTCTTCTAGGAATATGGGATCAGGTAAAGAGCGACATATGCGGTGCAGGTACAAACAGACGTTTATCATATAAAGATATACTCTGTATATTTTTAACAAAATCAGTTTTTGAGAGACAAGTATCGTAATTCGACAACTACATCGTCATTTTTGTTATGAAATTCTTTGCAATTGTGTTTCTATAGAAAAATTGTTTAAATTCTCAAAACTAAAAAGAAAGTTTTGAAAAATGTACTTAAATTTTTAAAAACTTAATTGTACAGATGTAAAGTAAAATAAAAATCTATGTAACTTTTATTTAAACTATTTCTTCATATCTTTTCAATGATATTCGCGTAAGAATGTAAAACCTAATTTTTTTAAAGAGAGATGTTTCTACCAATATACAATCGATTGTTAACAGGAAAATTTATAAAATGATTAAGATAATTAAGTCCACATATAGTAGCAAGTACTATATTTCTACGATATTTCAGAGTTTTTAATTTTCGAGGTTTACGAGACCCTCCTTTTTTTTATTAGTAGAGATACACATGTTATTTATCGACAAAAATTATTATATTTTGGTTCCAAAATGATACATTAGGCATTGCAGGGGTAATAAAATTTCCAAATTACACGTTCACATAAATATCATTTTGTTCTATCTACAATTAATTTATTCAATCGCGCCGATACAATCTAAAGAGTCTTTTTGTTGTACTAAATTATATCGAAACGTACAAAGTATCAAACACGGCGATCTACTATATTCATAGTCCGATTATACATGTGTGTTTTGCTATAATAATAAATTATCGATCTTGTGTGTCGTATTTATTGTTTTTCTTTTTCTCGTTTTTGGCAAAATGAGCGGCGCTCCGCTATTATTAATAAAACGAATAATTTAATAGAGGAAGACGACAAAAATCATGTGGAAAAACACTATCAAATAATTCTTTCATTAGTGTATTGCATCGTTATTTATGCACTCTGTTAAAATCCATTTAATAATTATCCGCCACATTAGAGCAGATACGTGTGGTGGTGCTAGAACAAATATATAATATTACGAAAGTTACTCTTATTACAAACATATATTACAAACATATATATGAGCAATAAAAGTTGAGTCCTATATAAACTTCCGTTAGTTATTTTTTATCTTAGGCCCAACCTGTTTTCTGCGCCGTTTAATCGATGCAGATATTTAGAATTTCATTTCTTATTTACTTTTTTTTTTTTTTTTTTTTTTTNTTTTTAATACGAGGGAACACGCACTTTCGTTCTTTGTGAAAATATGGCCCCATTGTTACAGGCTCGATGTAGTGTCCGGAAATGTAGATTTCCTTTCTTTATTTCTTTGTTCCTGAGTCTGCAACAGGCTTTGTGCAACTTCGTGCCATTTGTAATCTTTAACATTTACTTTATTTTATTTTTATTTTTTTTTTTTATTATTTTTTACTATTATATTTGCATATGTATACTTTTTGTATGAAAATAATCTAACGATGTGTGACATTTTGATACTGAAGTATTAATTTTCTGCTTAGATTTTATGTTTAGAGTATAATCTCTAATTCATTGATAGAAGAAGGTAACATCAATAAATGTCATCGCGCGTTCGTCAAAAAAGATACAAGCACAATTGACACGAAGTCGCACTGTTGAGAAAAGATTTTTCTGTATTAATTCTACGCAGTATATACGTGTTTTGTTCTCCCTTTTGTTTACCTACAATATAATCATTTCCTTTATGTTAATCTTCATTATATTTCCCTAATTGCGAAACAGGCCGCGTCTGAACCTGATGATAACAGATAAGGTCTTCTTATCGCTCGAACCCCTTTTCTTATCTTACTATTAGTAAAATTAGTAAAAAAGCTTATCTCTCTAATATCTCAAACAATTCAATTTCTCGAGAGAACGTGGTCAGCAAGAAATATTTAACACAGCATGTACCGGGTGTCCCGTAATAAGTCGAAATCAATCGCTTGGGAGGAGATGCAAAAACAAGAAAAAACGTTTGATATAAACATACGTCTGAAAATACGTTGTTTTAGAGTTATCGTTAATTTTATGAAATTTGAAATTGCTGTATTTCGGATTTTCTTGCAGAAGGAAGGCATTTCGAACACCTCTCTCTCTTATAATTGTTATATTATCCACACCCATTCACCCTATACATACGCGCGCGCGGCAGAGAGAGTTTGGAGCCACAGGAGTGACACAATGTGAGGTTCTGATCTTTGCTAAAAGCCGCAGCTCCACATGAAGTCTAGGGTAATGCTAAAACAGTAACTTTTATTTGACTTTAGTTATGTCACAAAACTCCGATACTAACCATTCCTTCTTTTAATTTCGACAAAAAATGCGAAATATACAGCAATTTTACCATACAAATAGCGATACCTCGAAAACAATTTCGGACGTATGTTTATATCAACTTTTTTTCTTGTTTTTGGATTCCCAATCACTTTCCGAACGACTGACCTCGACTTACGGGACACCCTGTATATATGAAATATTTAATAAAATTTATATATATATAAAATAAACGTATTATATATATATATATATATATATATATATCATATATATATGTATATATTAAACACTTGATTAAAGTGCAGAATATTTCTCTCTTACATTCAGTTGTCATCTATTTCGTTCGAGGCATAAGAAGATCCATCTTACATTTATCGGATTGTTTTACCTATACGTTATGAACTTTTTATATCATCCATGTGCTACACGGAATTAAACGCAATTAGCGTGCATATGGTTGAGACGATTTTTTCGCCCTGATACTGCTTCTTTTACCACTTTTTTTTTTATACGTTTACGTGGAAAGCTCGTTTCCTGTTGTAGCTCGAGAATTCTTAACAAGACGATAATGTGAATGGATTTTGATGATAAAATATTATATATATATATATATATATATATATATATATATATATATATCTCGCAAACATATATATATATATATATATACGTTTTATACATACATATATATATATATGGTATATAAAAACAGCAATATATGACAAAATGTTAAAACTCGAAACCGGATCAAAACAAAGCCGCTACTTACCGGATTTTCTTTCGCGGATACACCGCTAGTATATCGGTTCTGCATGATAAGCCGATTAACTGGCTTCCGGTTGGTCAAGTGTTAAAGCAATAATAAAAAAAAAAAAAAGAAGAAAAAAATTCAAATGCTAAAATATTTGCAATTTCTCTGATTTCAAAAGTAAGAATTTAAGATTTGACACATAACGAATTCTTTTCAGGAACTTTCTTATCTACGAACATCGTTTGCGAAGTAAAAAGCGTATCGTTTTAAGAATTCTCCGCGACGAGTTGATCGTATATTCACGCAAAGGTCGAAGACTTAGCGAGGCTTCAGTCTTTCGGACGTTAGTTTCCCTTATATTGTTGTGGTAAGTAGTATGTGGTAAATTGTATATGTGTATGTGTATGTATATGTGTGTGTGAGCGTAAGTTTGTGTATGTTATTTACTCGCGCGACATAAAACGTAATTAGTAATTGTCCCTCAGAGGCTCGTGACCATATGTGGCTTGGCAGTGGTGGAGGCAATCTCAGAGAGTCGTACGTCAATAGGGGTGCGATCGTCGTACAGGGTCGGCGCCTGTAATATAATCCCGGCTGTGCCGACGATCACGGCTAACGTGAAGATAAAGAGGAATAATCTGTCGAGCACCATCGCGACGTACTTCCAATCCTCTTTGACCTGCGGCCGAATAAATCACAAATGAGGTAATGTTTTAAAAATGCTGTGTTTTTTTGTGTTTCACATTTCGAATTAATTTATTTTTAAACTTATAATACTTTCTATATAGATACGTAATAATTTATATAATTTTTATTCATATGTATATATATGTGTGTGATTACTCTGGTAGAATCCTCTTCTCTCTTCGTATGATCGGCGATGAAGCGTATGCCTTCAATGGCCTTGTATAGTTCTGGGCAGTGGTGCCAGTGATGAAGCGTGTTACAGAGAGCGTCGACGCTTTCTTGAGTCGGAAGCTGCGGCGGTGGCGGCGGCGCGGCCGTTGCCGCTGGCGAGCCGTGAATACGACATGTGCTTCCTAAATTTATGTCCAGTTCCCTGAGAAGATACAAGTTGCAGTATGGAATAAACGCGCCAGAGATAAAAATAAAAACTTGTTTTTCTAATCTTTAAAAAATAAATTGAAAAAGTAACGATTAATAAATAAGTTTTCTCTCTTCGAGAGAGAGAGAGAGAGAGAGAGAAATAATTTATGAGAGAAAAAACAATATGTGTGTGTTTGATACTTCAAATTATTGTAACAGAAAGAGAGATATTGTAATATAGAGTTCAAATAAATCTTATAGATCTTGTATTATTATTTTGTATTATTATTTTGCAACGTTCAGGGCGTGTCTTGATGGAAACGCACCGAGGTTGCAGCTCGTCCCGTGAATCGACACTAGGAAAAAGTACGGAGGACTCGACCAATTCCGAGGCCGACGTCTCGGCGAATAATGGCGGATCTCGCAGCTCGAGACCGTTGCATGTTCTGACCATCACGCGATGCCCATGATGTCCGCCCATGCTACGCTTGTCTATTGGATATTGCGGCCTAAATTGGAATCGCATATTGTAAAATATATTGTTAACATATTAACAATAAAAATATAATTCACACAATATATTGTGTGAATTATACTTTGTCTTTTTCAAGCTTCAATACAAACATAGTGTATACGTTACGTTAAATGTTTGTCAGTTTTTTTTTTTTATATTTATCGATAAATTATTTCTACATAAATGTACGTACAATTCAAATTCTCTGTGCAAACGAATTACTGTCTTTTTTTATGACAAGTTTAAATAGATAACTTGATCATCTAGTTATTGCTTTGTTTAAAGATGAGTTTACGATATTCGTACGAGAGAAAAATCGTGAACACGCACGCTAATGCGAAAGCGTTATTTCATTACATGCTTCTAATTTCTAACTTGGCAGTTGCAGATGTTTCGGGAAAATGATGTATTATTAAATGTTTCAATGTTTATGTGTTTAAAAATAAAATCTTTAAATTCTATGCAATTAATAAAATATATCAGATACTAAGTAGCGTTTCATGTTTTGCGGCAATCTCAATAAAGCAGTATGCTCAAGTAGTTTGTGTTGTATACAAGTGACACATATAGCGCGATATATATATAGAGCGGGAGCGATGATGCACCGGGAGTGCGGTGCTACTAAATGCTTGCTAGGTATGACGTGACACTAACGTCACGTACGTAACGGGCAAACGCTAATGAGTGCTTTAAATGCCGGTTCTGGCGTAGTTGCAATGACCCTCTCTCGGGTCGCGCAAATACCAGAAGAATATATCTTGCCTGGAATCGTAATTGGTTCTCTGCGATGGCGTATTATACCTGCGCATTACCAGCAACCTCGGTAAAACATGGATGAACACACGTCGTACCCACGGTGCCATCACGTGGGTCTGCGGCGAGCGAAAGTGAACGTTCAGGACTACCACTGTTACGCATATACTAGAAAAAAAAGCAAAACCACCAAGTTATTTGCCCGCACAATTATTCGCAACAATTTTAACTTCTTCAAATTCCATTATATTGAGAAATCTTTCTCATTAAATTTACGCAAGATATTCTTTCAAAAATGACAAGTATCCACCAGCCGGATATTTATTAAAAAAGTCATTATGACAAAAAATAGGAAAAAAACAGATAGATATGGATCTTTATTTATATACATGTAAAGGTAGAAACTGACAATTAAAAATATATCTTCGAACATAGAATATCATTATAATTACTATTTATATAATCCAATAATTATCTCTATAATTTCCAGCCATTAGGAGGTTTATTTATTGAAACATATTATGTGTGTTATTTATTTTATACATTGATACATTAACTTACCAAATATATAGTCGCAGATACGTGTACTTGTTATACGATTGATTGCTTTTTATAATTACAATTGTTTACCTGAAAGTGTCGAGGATCATAGTGAAGAGGACGAATTTACCGAGAAGCGGTACCACGAGCGATGTGGGCGGGATAATCTCGGCTAGCAAGAGGAAGAACACAGTCAGCGACAATAAAATCGAAATGGATAAGCTGACCTGTAACAAGAGAAGGAAGACAAAAAATATGTACAGTCATGATTTACGCGCGAAAACAGCATTAATAGAAACGATATGTTTTTTTTTGTCTCGCAAAAGAGAAAAATCGCTTTCTTGCAGAACTGATTCACTGCGATGTACGTCAGAAAAAAAAATTTGACACGTGCTTAATTGCATATGACGCAAAAAAAATATGACAAATTTTATTGAAAAGTCAAGTTGTTTGAATGTTTGAATATTCTTAACGCTCATTAATTTTGTCAACACGTTTCTCTTCTTCTCTTTTGCGTCAATACAATACGTGCGGAACGATCTTTTGACTATAAATTGGAGTTTCGTAATGAGATGCGCATATATAGATAGCACCTTACAAGTGCATCGAGGCCGATTGGATAGGGGTAGTAGGTATTGTCTTTTCCCGATCCTCTCTCGCATTGATTCTGCGCCAAGCACGTTGCAAAGCACGTTAAAGATACTTCATACCCTCCCTCTTTTCAATCCGTTGCGTATTCGCCAATTGCTAAACGACCGGCACCCTGACATCTGACCCGCTTTCCCTTTTTCCTTCGCTTTGATTATTCTCTTCAGAGAGAAGAGAAACCTTCCTACATATCTTCCTTGTAAAACGACGAAGCGGTAGAATGTACTTGAATTATGTAAGCGCCGCACTACGTGGGTATCGGACGTTTGAGGTCGAGTGTGTCTTACGACGAGACATTCAAAGACGCAACTTCGACGCGAGAAAAAAAATCGATCGCGAGAGATTAAATCGTAAACGGGCGAGAGCCGTATCTCGATCTAATCGAGTCAAATCTTTGCGTCTGCGGAATTAATTCCCGACTGCGATGCCGCGTGGTAAATTCTCTCACAGAGAAGGTGAGTACAAAGACAGACGCGCGATATATATCGCGACGATACGGACCGCTCGCGAAATTAAACTGCTATAGCGGAAAATTGTGCCGTTCTATATTCCGACGTCATCCGAACAAAATTCTCAATTAATGTTCATGCTATTGTTAATATTATTTCTAAAATAAAACTATGTGTGCTGTTCTCTAATAATAATTTACTTTGTTACTCTACGATAGATTTAAAAAGAAAACAAAAGTCACTTATATTACTCTGCTTTTATTATGAAATAAACGTTTGAAAAAGATTGACTACTTAAGATAATTAGCTGATTACCTTTTCTCCGCTGTCGCTTGGCAGGTAAAACACCAACACCGTGAGGAAAGATATCCCCATGCACGGTATTATGAGGTTGACGGTGTAGAACAGAGTCTTCCGTCTCATGGTGATGTTAAAAGTGATGTCGAGGTAAGGCTCGTCACAACACGTGTAAAACTTTTCGTTTCTGCAATTTCGTAGGTTTTTGTTTTGCGTATTTACACGTTTTTTTCTCGCTGAACGAGATCTCGACAGTAATAGTAATTCTACGATTCCTTTCTATTCGAGAAAACTCTAAATATCGAAAGTTTGTTAATATATTAATAAAGTTAAGCATTATATATACATATGTATATATATATATATATAAGTTATAAGCTTCGCTTCTGCATATTTCAAGTTAAAGCTCTTCCGAGTTAAGAACTAATTATCGACGTTATTAATATTAATAAAATATTTGACTATGTTTTAAAATATTGAGACAATAATTTATTGACGTCCCGTTAAAAAAGTATAACGCGCTTGAGAGAAAATCTTTTTATTAAGTTAGGAGAGATACTGTCTTGTATTGTTATTTTTGCGATTTTTCTAATCTCTTAAGAGATTGCCGCGTGTCGTAAAAAACGTTGAATGATCTATAAGGAGATGATTAAAACGCACCTTACAGCCGGGACTCCTAGTATGTCCCACTCGACGGATTTATAAAACTCCGACAGATCGATGCCAATGTCGACGATATTGCTGCCTCGAACCTCATCGATGTGTCTAAGATCGACCTTAACAATAAATCACTAAAATTTACAATGCATTGTTGATGTCGACGCTGTTTGACGTTCGATCAAACGCGCGATTTCCGTTTCTACTCTCTTCCGATTTAAGGAAGCGCCAGAGAATCAGTACTGTGCGACGCGGTTAAGTATATTTAATTTTTTTTTTTTACGAGCGCAAAAAAATATAAACGAAGGCGTTTACGTGGGTGTTGACTCGGTTGACACATTGAGAACGCGTAAACTTTGAAAGTTCTTTATAAATAGCATTCGATATTCAGGTCATACAATTCGTCTGGTCGCTTATCAATTTCTACTACCGCGACGTCTTTGTCCGCTTGCCATTATTTATACCCGATGGCGAGGTTGTGCACGTGAACTGTCTCTAACAAGAGACAGTTTGCTCAATAAAGAATGATAACAAGCAATACGATCTCTCGGCACGATGTCTAACAACCGACCGCGCTAATACTTCTGTCGTAACGCGGTTACGACAAAAAGTTATGCTAGCGTATCATATTTAATAGTCATTCCTAACAGGTTTTTTCTTTACTAAGGATTCTCTTTGCGAGGAGCGTCATTTGGAATAAAAAAAAAATCTTCAAAACTCTCGAAATTGATTGTCGCGTGAGTTAAGAAACAATTAGGATCAAAGAGAAGCGCTTCAATAATTATTTATTGTACGAACTTTACTGCCTCGCATAACTTTTGCGTACGTGACAAATGAAGTAAAAAAAGTGTCCTTTAATAATCAGGTTTGTCTGTTCAGTACATCTTTTCATACAAAAGAAATTAATTAATTTATCGACTTTGTCTGTGAATGTTGTTAATTTCTGCGTTCGCGTAAAGAAAAAAAAGGCAACGACGTATCTGTCTTTCAGACGACAATTGAATAATCGATCGTGATTAAATTATCGATCGACGAAATGATAGAAGAAATTTAGTTCTCACCTGGAAGCCGTCGTAAGTCCACGAGCCAAACTTCATTACGCACGTCTGCTCGTCGAAAGGAAAATATTCGACGTCAATCTCGCAGGAAGACTTATAAATCGCAGGCGGCTTCCAATCGACCCTACCCGTATAGTTGAGAGTCGCCTTTGTCGCCAATGTCACCTCGAAGTTACCGTCGGCGCTGTCGATTGATCAATTTCGTATAATTTTAACTCCAACAGATAATTCACACACACACACACGGACACAACAAGATACAATTAAACCGCGACAACTGCCGGGCCTGTCTTACTTGTTATATAAAACTATATCGGGTCTCCATATATGATCTGACGGCACGTGCAGCATCTCCACCCCACCGTACTCCTTCGGATCCCACTTCAACTTGTAATCATACCACGACTGGGAACAAACAGGCGACAATTTGTTTAGTTCTTTATTGCCGCTTTGAGAGAGACGAAAATTGTCCTTCTCATCTCTCAGACGACTCAAAGCGCGACTCTTCTAATAATAACGAATAAAGCAAACTCTCATTTTTTGTATAATGGTTTTTTACAAAAAACTATCGCAAATTTACTCGCGGTACACATAAGAGAGTTCTCTGATTACCGAACCGGTATAACACCGGCAATATATTTTCTCTTCAAATGTTGTCGAGTTATTTTGCAACGTTTTTTTTTTACGTATTTTAATTCTGCAAATTTACAAAAAACGAAGTTCGCCCCGAGTTCGCCAAGCGGATTCAATTATCCTTATATACGTTATATCCTTTCGTTCGCGCGTGTATTTAAATGAGAAGCGACAAAGGAAAATCGCGGCATCGGAAAATCTCTGAAGCTGCCCCATCCACGATGCAACAGACCGTGCGCACAGACAATATTTTGCAACTTTCCTCATTGGAGCAAGGTAAGGCTGAAAACATCTGAGATTTGCATACGATGCGCACCTAAACTTCTTCTTTGGCTCTTTAAAATTGCGCCGTCTGAACTTTGACTGAAAAACGCTAATTAATCTGCGCACATGCTTAAAATGCTCGTTGTGCGAAAATTCGCGATGATATCTCATATTCATCAAAACTTACGCGGCAAGATTATAAAAGACTCTTTGCGCGTTATAATCCGCGCGGAAACAAAACTCTTGCTGACTCTTCGTAGATTTGGCAACAAAATACAAAGAGAAAAAAGAGAGAGAAAGATTTAAAATCATCTAACAATCGAGATAACTGCGCGAAACCCTGTCGCGTCTCGGTTGATGTCTCGACGTTTGTGCGTTGAGAAAACGCCGTTCTCGTTCGAAAATTGACTAGAAGAAGCTTTGTGAAGAATTTCGCCCGTTTATTCCAGCATCTTGTACAATTTTGATGCGAAGCCATATTGTCCGCTTTTATTGTTACCGGTACTTTTCTATTTATAGTTTCACTCGAAAGTGCCTCGTAGACAGAAGCGTGTTTTCGCTTCGCTTCGCTCATTGTGAATATCACCGCGAGAGCGAATAAACCAGCGTGCAGTATATATATACACACACACACACAAACAAACAATTGTTTGACAGTGTTCCATCGAATATCGCACAAATCAACAATAGACAACATACAGAATCGAGGAGAAATCAATTATAGGAAATTGCTAAAACTATAGCAACGTTTTGTATAATTCACAGACAGATATAAATGTTTTGAACTTATAATGTCGACTCTCTTACGTCACCAAAATTTTATTAATAAAAAGATTCAATTATATATCCCGGTATATTATTTTTATATATACGAAATGTAATTCGCGCGCTCGTCGTGCTCGTCGGAAATGTCCATTTCCTTCCGGGCGTGGACACAGGCATTTGTGCGTGCCCTTCTATGTCGAATATTAGCTCGCGCGGCCTCCCGAGTCACCGCTTACGCGCGCTTACATATTTGCCAGACAGAATATTACTTATGCCACCCCCCCGTTGTAATGCACGGCCGCGGATATTCGTGCGCGCGAATTTTGACCGTGTTTAACCGGAGCAAAGGTAACGTTTAGTTAAATAGCGAGCGCTTTCGCTTCTCTTGTGTGTGAGGGTATATAACTTATTAAACATTCATACGCACAAAATACGACGGAGATCATTCGGATTTGCAAAACTCCGACTCGCCTTGTAAAAGCCACGGGGATTAAATTTAACCGTGGAATATATTCGCGGCGATATTTTGATATCGATCTACCGACAACTCTATTTGGCGAGCAAGAACTTTTCAACAATAATTGAGATGCATCAGAAACTTGGATTTCAACAGTATAAACAGCTAGAAATTACGACAAACAAGCACGTCCGTACGACATTGTTCCTTTTACTTACTATTGAATATACAAACTAGTAACAAAAGTTAGTTGTATTTCTAACACAATTGGCGGAGAGAAAGAGAGAGAGAGAGAGAGAAAATTAAATTTTGTTAATCAAATGACGTTGGTAGCTTTAGTGCGCTTGTGTAAGAAACAAGATTTTTTTTACACCCAAGAACAATCGTAAAATCTGCAATGTTGTTTGCACTGTGACGAATCTAACGATCATAAAATAAGATATTTGAAAATTTTGATCGGTTCGCAAAACTCTCTCTGGACGAGAGAGAGTTTATTCGCAATGCGGCAGCCGAGTGTTACACGCCGGCAACGCAAACCGAATAATCTCGCAGATAAATCGCGGAATTAACATTTTCGTACTCTCGAACTATGCGATAACATTGATACCCTGACAGATCACGGCAAACTTTCAAGCTCGTCCGGCGCCACGTTTGTTCAGATCTCAGCGGTGAATCTCCACGAACATCGACGATATAGTTAGATTTACCGTGCGACATTAATATTTGGTAGTCTTCTCTCGATCGATGGAGCATCAGACGACGACGCGTTTAGTTAGGAGAAATTGTTACATATATGAAATCGCGGAATTTCCGTAATATAACAATTATGATGAGAGAGATTGCGTTATTAAATAGAATTTAATAAAACTATTCGGCAACTTTCGTCGACAATGTACAACAATTCAAGTTCTTTGTTATGAAATCAAAGACTTTTTTTTCATATTAAAATTTTTTATATTAAAATGTAAATTAACAAAAATAATTTAAACGCGTATCTTTTATCTTTCAAAATGATATTCAATATATTCACATAATTTTTATGTATTTGTTCGCTTATTTGCGTAGGTCGCGGCGATTAGTAATCAAAAGCTCGATAAGAGACGTACGAGATGAGGGTTAAAAGCCGAAGATTCGATAGCACAAAGCTTGATAAAAAAATTCGAAATTTGTTACAAAATTGAAACAATTTCGGTTCTAAGGCTGCGGGATGAACTTCAATTTATTCTTTTTATTTCTATTAATTGTTACCCGGGATTCGGGTAACAATTCCATTTTTACATTTTGATTGTTTTTCAACCGAGATAAATAATTAAACTCTCCGAAATATTTGAAGAGAGAACGCTCTCGACTGCGTTACACATTTTTTATAATCGACACATTGTTTTCTACGATAAAATTAATATCTAAGAACAATGTTGTCAAAATAATAGTATAGTAAATACTCCACGTGGCGGCGCGATAGTTTTGTCTCTCTCTCTCTCTCTCTCTCTCTCTCTCTCTCTCTCTCTCTCTCTCTCCTCTCTCTCTTTCTATTGCAGAAAGACAATATATATATTCTTATTTATCTTCTCGCTTTCTCTCATAACACACAAAACGATAGAGCGATTTACTAGGCAACACGTTGTACTTGCATCACGAGATATATTTACTTGCTCTTTAATGACGCAATTCTTCTGTCACAAGTCACACATATTTATGACACGCGTTTCTCTGTATTTCATCCCCGCGTTATATGCACGTTATATATCGCGAAGCGGAAAAATACACGAGTCGAGCACACGGTCGATGATGAATCTATCTTATGTAATTCAGCACTCTCGAAAGTGGGTTGCACGGTTCACCGGAATTATTTTCTGGCTGTTCGGCCGGAAACTCTTGTCTGTTCTTCGTTTCGTTCAACGTTTCGTATATATATATGTATATATATCCGCGCGCATGTGGACACGCATGTCTGCGTGTGCTAAAACGTGTCATCGACAGCAAACCGATTGCATACATTTATCTTCCACACACATAGACGACGCGCGGTCGATGAAGTTTTTAGTGGGACCATAAAAATGCGTACCGTGTCCATAATCGTCACGATTTTTATTTTGACAGTTGCTCTCGCTATTCAAGAGGGAGTATTACGAAAACTCGAAAATATAACGCGCAAACGAGTACAGAGTTTTTATTTTCGCTGGAAAATTCTCTTTCAAAACTTCGATAATATCTAGCATTATATTGTACGATACTTTTTTGAAGTTTCTGTCTTTCTCTCTCTCTCTCTCTCTCTTTCTTTCTTTTTGTATTCTAATAACAAAAAATCCTATAATTAATATATTACCTGTTCGACCCAGAGGTTCGTTGTCATGATCTGATTTTTCAAATTCTGCGAAAAAAATAATTGCATGAACTTATACACAACATATAGATACACGTTATATGTTAAGATTTGCAATTATAAAATCACTCTCCGAGTGATAACTTCCCGATTTTGCGAATGATTTAATATTATTATATCGCGCAAAGGTTAGCGCCAAATTATCGCCCCTCTTACCACATCGATGAGTTGGGAAAGCTTGAGTTTTATTTTAACGGTGAGGGCGTCTGTGACGTTGATCACTGGACGAACCAGCTTGTTGTAATTCGACAAGAGGTCGTCGTATAATCGCTTCGCGTCTGGATTTCCTGAGCATCCTGAGAATACGAAAAAGTGTGTCAGCGAATCTTGATCTCTCGAAAAGACGAACTTTTCGAAAAGACAAACCGAAGTTGTACACACGCCTCGTCGATTTTAACGTAACAAATAATAAGATTAGTCTCTTTGACAACAAACAAACAGTTTATTATATTTTCTTAATTTTACTCTCTCTGGTGTTTATACTGTCTTAATTTACCTATTCACTTAATTTAACAAATGTTTTAACTTTGCGTTTTTTTTTTTTTTTTTACAATATTTGCATCGTATTATACAACTGGAAAATAATTTCACGTCCTTCTATGGAGCTAATATCGATGACGATGGATTTTTTTTTTCGATAAACGAAGCGAAAACAAAGCTCGGAGGAAGGCTGAGGGAAAGGGTGCGGAAGAGCAAGGGAAATATTTCGTCCGAGGGCAGATATCAAAGGAAGGGAGACAGCCGTGGATGGTCTATCTACGTAACAGGACAGCTCGGTAATTCCGCTTCGTAGTTTTCCCATTATCCGCGCCCATGTGAGCGTGCCGTGTGGATCTCGCTTTGCGCATATTTAACTCTTTGCCGTACGGCAGTACATAAAGTGTTGCCCGTCATTACAAAGCCCAACACACAGACCCGCAGATACCAACTGGATATATACGCGCCCTACCGTCCGTACGCGCGCTCTGTTCTCTCACTCATTTGCAATTTCAAGGTAAAACGTTAAGCTTCGGATCTGCATACGACGCTACAATTTGCCATTAATGACCGTAACAGAGTTGAAGTAATTAAAATTATGGAATTCCAAATCTCTGCATTTGACAGTTCGAAATTCTTTGCGTTTCCATCTTGTAACTCCGAGACTTGAATGAAACAAAAACAATTAAGGTAAATAAAAATGCGTGTATATATAAATTTTCAACGTTTCCGGAGCAAGACGTTTCATCAACAGATTTGATATATATATATTATAAAATGTACTGCGAACACAATAATACACGGTGTATCCATCTTCGTCGCGCGCGAGAACATTTTATTTTTCAAAATGTCGAAATGGCGCGGCGCCGATTAAAAAAGACTGTTAAAAATCATTCCGTTCGTTTCGCGTCGCGCATGCATGTCGATATCACGTCATTATGACGGAGTCGCCGACAGATTCGGCTGTGTTATTTATCACTCTTTCGCACGTTATTTTATCGCTCTGTGTTTTACGAGTCTTTCTTTCTCCTCTTTTCGTTCCGACTAACGCGTGCAACGTCAGTGATTTTAATTTTGAAACCAAGCCAGAGTTTCGAACTCCTTCGCCGACTCGTACATATATATGTATATATATATGTATATTTATCGAGAGATAGTCGAGAAACTGGATTCGAGGCAAATCGGAAAAACCATAGCGCGAAGAACTCGTGAAAATGCCGATAGCGACGTCGCGCGGATTTTTATTACGTTTTTTTTTTGTTTTACCATCTCAAACATCACAATCGGTTTCAAACTCTACAAATGTAATGATTTACATACGTAAAAAAAACACGTGTTAAACAAATCTTAAATAAATACAATTTAATGTAATTTAACATTTAATTACCAGCGCTTTTTTGTACAAACGAATTGCGTTTAATTTATCAAGCAAATTATAATGAAACAAAATGTATTTTTGAGGAATTAATCTTCTAGAAAATATATTTATTTTTTGAAGTTGAAAAATGTAGCAATTTCTCTCTCTCTTTGTAACAGTAACATTTGTTTGGTCACATCAACTTTTTTCCTGGTAAAAAAAAAAAGAAAGAAAAGGAAGATATTTTTACAGCTCTGTGCTGCGTGCTGTGTTTCGCGGCGCAGCACAGGGTTCGTAATAATAAGAACAACACGCGCGGAAATGTGAGCGTAAACGCGGTCGACCACTTCCATCCGAGAACCGATAGTGCATACGCATCTCGCAGACCGCAGGCGTATGCATGATAATATGCGAACGCATGCATGTGTATAACAGTGCGCGTTCGTGTAGATTACGGCACAACATTACGGGGTCCGCAAATACAGCCGCGGCGCACGGAAAACGCTTTACAGATCTCAAGTAGTAGATATCAACGTTTGTGAACGTGCGTCCACACGTCATTACTCGAACGCGACTCTCTGGGATATACCACGGCTGATATATATATATATATGCACGTATTTTGCATAGCTTTGTAGACGTGTGTTCGCCGCGTGAAATAAAAAAAAAATTATTTAAACGGATTATTTCCCACATATTTATCGGATATGAAAAAATATAATTCTCTCGACTCGAGATATGGAATTGTGCAGACCTTGGGTCGAAGTTTTTCTTTTCTCCTCTTCAAATCCCCTTCAGTGGTATAAATACGGGAAATACGAGATTCAAAATCGGAAATTTGCAAATTGCATAAGTACGTAAATTGTGTCAATATACAGTTGGTAATAAGAATCAAATTAAGCGAAAGACAATATTTACATTAGCAAGATCACATTTTGAGAGATAGTCTACGTTTATGCGCGTTGTTTGCCGGGGGGGGGGGACAAAAATGATGAATTGATATATTTGAAAACAATGAGATGAAATTTATCTCGCGATTGGTATAATGATGGATTAGGTATGGATAGAACGCGGCGATTTCTAGATTGATCGGAACACATACCTGATATGAGCACCAACACTATCCACATGATCCCCACCAGGCTCTTCATCATGTCATTGTGTCACGTCCACCTCATTTCTTCTCGCCTTCGCGCACCCCAGATCACTCAGTTTTTGCGCTGCAATAAAAGAAAGAAGATATAAGCCGATCGGTAGATGTCGCAATCGGACATGTGGTCTTAACGACATCGACATAAATAATATCCTTTATTCCCATTTATAGCCTCGTCATATTTTTGTTCATATCTTTAAAAATGTTATTGTTTTTAAAAGCGAGTAGAAATAAAATAATATGTTTATTCTCTTGATACTTCAGTTAATTGTTTTTTTTTGTTTTTTTTTTTTTTAATAAAATACTAGAATTTAAGCTGTTCTCCTGCTTTACTTGAAAATAACTGGAAGAAAGAGAGAGAGAGAAAAAAAGAGAACTTTAATGCGAGTTGATCGCGCAAAGTCAAATTCGCAATTTATCAAAATGGCGCAATGCCCCCACCGGGTGGAACTACTAGTAAAGCATACGCAAAGAGCACGAAAGACGTCCGCTCGTGAATTATGAACAGGTAATTGTAGGCTATCGCGAAAACTTACGATCGTTCTTCCGCTCGTGCGCGATGTGTGCATTGAAACGGTGCCGATCAAACACGCGATAATGCGCGATATTCGTGCGAGGTATATGTAGGTTTTTCGAAAAATATGACTATATATAAAATATGACCGCGCGCGCGGCAAAAATCGAGTCCGAAAAGTTCATTCCAATTTGGCTTCTCAAAAAATTCTGCGCATCAGATCACAATCGGTGATCCGACAATTCGAAGTGTTCCAAAACATTGATACTTAAATTTTTTAAGATTAATTTGCTTGATTAAAATTTCACATTTGATTTGCAAATGAAACGCTTTAATTTAGCAAATTTGTTTTATTCGTCCTGTCGCATTGATCTTCAAAACAAAAAGAAGAACTGGTCGAAGTCTTGATTTCTTGTTCGATGATCTGCTTACGTATCGAGATAAAATGATAATCCCGAGTATTTTTGTTTTCTCTTTTTAATTTTTTTCTTAGTTTCTTCAAAAACACACTCCGCCGATGTGAATTCCACATAGGCGCCGCGCGATCGCAACAACGGCGCGTAATTTTCCCTGTTTGCTTTGTGCGAAATAGATATTTGATTCATGGTTTTTACGAACACACGAGCTTTACGCTCGTTATCGGTGCCAATTTTCTCAGCAAGAGATTTATAACGGTCGTAAGAATCGCATTACGCGATGTCGAACCCCGTCTGAATTTTGATATTTTTGCAGGTGCCACTCTCGACGGGCGGACGCCAATTATCGCCGCGATTCTGAGATTCCGGAATTGCCTGAATTCCAATAAGTCTTCCCTCGCAGATATTCCAATCTTCCGTCGGAACCGACTGCGAAATGTCGCCGACACGATCCACGAATCCTTTAAAACGAATTTCTCCCGGCCTCTCCCCTTTTCATTTGTTCTCTTTTCGGAGCTCGGTTCTAACATTTATAACGCAATAGAAATTGCACGTCATATACATATTTTGCAATACAATTTTAAATATCAATTCTCTTTATTGGCGAACACCGGATCTTTTAAGACTCACGTGATGATTGTTACGTAAATAAAAAATAAATAATATTCTCATTTGCAAATTTGTTTTAATAACGTGTACTAGAGAAACTTTATTATGGGTCAGAAGCGGATCCGGGCGTACGCTGTGCGCGCGGCGCTGTCACACAGTTCGCCGATTCAGTTTCCGAGGATTAATAAAGTCGACATCAAACATGGTCGCGCGGACTTTCGCGCGATGTGTAATTTCCGAATGATATAAAGTGAAAAATCATGTGATATTGAAAATTATTTTATTTACTCGAAAAGCAGAATGATAAATATTTTTGTAAATATGTATATTTTTTTTTCACTCTTATTTATTTCCGACAAATCTTCATCAGATTGTCTTGTAATGTTTGTTTTGCAACACAAGAAAACATTTTTTGCATAATAAAGTTTATAATGAATAAACGTCGCGCCCCCCCCTCCCCGCGAGTGGAACAAATCCGCCGATGTGCCAGCCGCACACACAGACACACACTTTTTTCTCACTTACATTCGCTTATGTAACGCGGGTTGCAATATCGCTCACATAACGTATTCTCCCATCCAGCGGGAAACAGACCGGGGCCGAAGAGAAAACCGACTTGTGCTTTAAATTTCAAAAAAGCGGACAGTGTCCGTTTGTCCGCGCGGAAAGAGAATCCCTCTTGTTTTCTATTCCACCACCCCTTTCTCCGTCTATATTTCTTCTCGTTTTTTTTTTTTTTTTTTTTTCATCATCTATTCATTCATCTATTTTCCTTTCATCTGTCGCTCGTACTTAGACACAGACGTGTTCATATTCTCGTTTTTTCTAATTTTGTTTCATTTTTATATTCTTTCTTTTATCTCTTCGTCGGAGGTCGAATTTCATTTCTTCCACTCGCTGCGTCTCGCAACGCGTCTCTCTCTTCTCGCACGTTTGTTCCCTCGCAACGCTCTCGCATACGAATATCTCGTGATCCGATTATCGCGATAGAAACTTTGACGAAAAAGCAATAGAGCACGGAGACTTAATTTGCGAGTGTCGATAGTTTCAAAAAGAAACATTGAAAATAATAGATTTTACAAAATTATATACTTGAGAAGATTAACGATTTAAACTTTCAAAGAGACGCGAGTCAGTTCGCTCCGTGGTTTTTATAGTCGAGAAAAAATTAGACTCCATCGAGAAGGGAAGGAGAACGATGAGTTTTAAAAATCCTGGAGTCTATATACGCGGGCAATCGTATATATATATATATATATATACGCAAATTGCGGGGAAACGGGCTTTTCTGGCGCGAGATAGATGACGGCCGGTTCGGGGCGGCCGTGTGAGTGGCAGGCACTTATTATTATCGGTTATTCGGTTCCGCGAGTGCCAATATTCTGTTATGCGCAAACCGGCGCGCGTCAGACCAGTGACTGGCTGGCAACATCTCGCGTCCTCTTGTCCTCTTCGTTTTCCACATCCATTATTCGCGTGCGGTATATATATATATATATATATATGTACATATATAGTCGACTGATGACTGGCCAGCCGGACCAGAGTTGCATTTTTCCACGAGAAGATTCGACATTCCCATTTGGCAATATCGCGCCCTAAGGTCGCGCGCACTGAAATCGATCAAATATTGTATACGAGCTGTTTCAAATCTAATCGTTTCTGCATTCTGTGTGTGTGTGTGTATGTGTGTGTGTGTGTGTCACAATCTAAAGTTGATTTTTCTTCAACAAAAATAAAAAAAAAAAGGAAAAAGCTTGATTGTATTGATAAATTATTGCTCGTTACGGTTTTTGTACGAAGCTTGGGATATTATGTGTATATATGCGCGTTTGTGAAAAGAAAAACGTTTCAACGTACGTTGTAAAATAAATCTACTAAAATAAAACCTTTTATGTTTGTCCATACATTTTCAATGACTATCGAAAGGTCTTTTGGCTTCGTTTTCGTTTAATTGCAATTTTTGAGGCTGAATCGAGTTGATAAGAAGTGGCGTAAAGTGATTCTGAGCGATAACATACATATGTACAACAATCTGTACATATGTATTACATGTTATATGTGCGAAAGCATATAGTTTTTTTTTTTTTACAATTGATAACAGCAAGTTCTGTCGTTGCGCGATATATGACAAAATAAAAACTCGCCGAGCCATTAATCGATGCGCAATTGAACTCCATATAGGTGCAAAAAAAAAAAAAAAACCTTCGATAAGCTTTCAGTGAAAACAATTCTGCAGTCGGATCTTTATCAACAAGCGTAGATTGCATGGTCGTGCGCGATGGTCGTCGAAGATGCAACGCGACTTGTATTTATTTATTTTTTCTTGTTTTTTTTTTTGTTTTTTCTATCTTGCTTCTGTGTAGAAAGAACTTCGTTGAATAGCGATCACATTTAATGTCAAAAAGTTTGTGAAATAATAATTGGCGGAGCGCGCGCTTTAAAATTTTACACGTTTGAAACAGATAATTTCTTCGAAAATTCGAGCAAAATTATTTCCTCACTTTGCACAAGTCGCTCTTTTGTTTCAAACTCTTTGTTCAGACGAGAGAGAACATATATCTGCTATTTCTCCACTCTCCGGAGGAAACTTCGGAATAATAAGTACTGATAAAACAGATATTGCGTAGAAGCTTGATTAACGCGTGAAATTTGACGTGCGTTTTCGGATCGCGCTCTCTCTCTCGCTCGAGAAATCGTTCGGAAAACTTCACGTTCTCTTCGTTCCCGTTCGAAAGTTATTTCTGCAACGTAGTCCGGGATCGATAAACTCCGAATTCGTTCGTCGCTCTGTTCACGCTCGGCACTTTCGCGAAGCTCAAGAGGTGGATAATTATCTCCGCTACGTTACAAGTAGCAAAAAGCTCTCTGAAAACGGCTTTAACCGGACTCAGCTTACTTTCTTCACTCGTCGCTTTGTCATCTGGCTTGCGCGCGCGAGAGCTTGTGATATATAAATTTGCGAAATATATCAATTTTTAAACAAGCAATTAGAAAGATACAGTACTACGTACATATATTTATATAAAGATACGTACATATATTTCGCGGTTTTCGAAATCCGTGAAACAACGTCCTCGATATAATCCGTATAAGTTCTGTCGCATTAATTAATTTTGATTGAAATACGGTTGCGCGCATTTATTCATTCTCGCGTGCAAAAATCGCGCTCGCGGGAATTATCGGAAATTCAACCGGCAGCAGGAATTTTACGAACCGCTCCGACATGCGTCGCGGGAAAACAATGTCAAAACATGGTGTTTCTATTTCCGTGCGTCCTCGGGGAAAGATGTAAATTCAACTCTTGAGAGAACGTGCGAGCGAATCTCGCATTGCGGATCGTTTTGTACAAATGGTTCTAATAAAAGAGAGAGAGAGAGAGAGAACAGCAGTCTCGAATGAACGCAGTCGAGAGAATTGATAATTAATCCGTCTGCCGGTTCGCTCGATCGAAATTGCGCAAAAACGAAACGCGCGGTATAATGATTAAATGTGCAAGCGGCAGCCCGAGTTTCAACAGCGCGAGCT